TGCTGCCTCAGCCTGTGTGAGCTGGGTCCTAAAATGGCCACCCTTATCAAGCACCTGCCGGCTACCTGCCTCCAGCCCTTAAAGTGGCAGGCACCGAAAAGTGCACTGCCACAGTCCCTCTGTTATTTTCTTAATGGGGTGATAAACAAGCATCCTGCTGGGGCCTGGCCGTGCCCCCCGCTCCCCCCCAGCTCAGTTCTGTGGAAGGGAAGGGAAGGCTGCTCTAGCTTCCCCCAACTTCTAGCCTGGGCCACTGCAGGCATGTGCCTTCATGTCTGGGATGTCTGTGCAGTTACAAACTGATATAGCCTATTCAGGTTAGACTAACCTGCAAAGATTGAATTAATTCAGGCTCAGGCTTTTTGAATGTTTGTCCCTAGCTGTAGGGTAAGCAGGGGTTGGGGGGCAGGCACTAAGGGGAGGTAGGTGTTGGTGGATGTAGTCACTGGGTGGGGGGGGCAAGTGGTGTAGGGTTGCTTACCCCCATTCTCCCCCACTCCCCACTGCTTTTCATGCTGCATCAGTGGAGGCGACAGAATGCCTTCCAATAATTACATTCTGTACATGGACAGTTTTAACAAATTTGTGATTTTCCATGTATAGAGTCTAATTATTGGAGGGACATCTTAAATTCAGAGTCATCTTGAATTTGGGCAAATACAGTACACTTTGCTTTCACCCCCCAGAAGTGGAAGCCACAGAAACTGTAGTTATCATATAATGTGCACCCCATTTTGCAGCATCTGGTGTTTGGAAAAGGAATGCATGTTGTATGTGAGGAAAATATGGTATTTCATTATTATATATAGTACTTTCCTTGGGATCATATCATATATATGATATATGACCCCAGGTGGAGTACTATGTCAAATTCTGGGCACTGCACTTCAAAAAAGATATGGAGAATCTTGAAAGGGTCCAGAGAAAGGCCACAAGAATGATTAAGGGCCTGGAAGACACACTGTATAAGGAAAGATGAAATTATCTAGGACTGTTCATCCTGGAGAAGAGGAGACTGAGGTGGGACTTGGTGGCCATCTAAAAGTATGTAAGGGGTGAATATCAGGAGCTGGGAGAAAAACTTCACTAGGGTGCCCCAGGGGAGGACAAGAAACCATTGTTATAAACTGTTAGAGGACGGTTTCGGGTTGGATGTAAGGAAAAACTTCTTTACGGTAAGGGTGACCAGAATCTGGAACAGACTTCCCAAGGAGGAGATGCAGTCCCTAACCTCGGAAGTGTTCAAGGGGAGACTGGAGTGACACCTTGCTGGGATATTTGATCGCAACAGTATTCCTGCCCAGAGCAGGGGGGTTGGACCTGATGGTCTTTCGAGGTCCCTTCCAGCCCTTAATTTCTATGATTCTATGATAAGTAACATATATGTTCTGTCATGTCCATTTGTATTGCCCCAAAATGATGTAAACATAAGAAGCCACCAAGGAAGGGGCTCAATATCGAGTGCTTGAAAGACTGTTAAAAGCAGTCATCTTCAGCAGTACCTCAGTCATTGATGAACTCTCCAACCTCCCTGATGATCTTGCCATTGACCACTGGGAGAGCCTCAAGAAAAGCATCCGTAAGGTGTGCAAAGAACTGTAGTTGTTTTACCCAAGTTTGCATACATATACAAGCATTTCGAGATGATAGTGCTTGAAAGCACAGCTTAGTAGAAGCAGTATTTGCCAAGTTATGGATGAGGAGCTGCTTTCATTCAAGGAAGTTGATTGGTATGGTTTCAACTTTAGCTCTAAGCTAAAATATTTTGGATCACATGAGAGCAGGGAACTAATTTAATCATATTGGAGGTGCAGGGGGGGGGGGACCCAAAAGATTTTTGTTCAGCTATCACGTGTTTATGTTCTACTGTGTACATGGCTAAAGTTAAAATAGATCATTCTCAGAGCTTTGAATGCAAAAGATTAAATCCCTGATAATGGGACTTGTGCTTTTGGAAGGAATTTTTGTACCTGTTGAAAGTTCTATGTTGTTCAACACGAGATTTCACCTCCAACCTCCACTACCTTTTTAACACACCAATGCCTAATGCTTTAAATATGGGTCTCGGGGATGATTCCAGAAAGGATAGAGCTAGACTAGGGGTGGGCAAAATACAACCTGTAGGTCAGATATGGCCTGCAAAGCCATTCTATCCGGCCCACGGGGCCCTTGAAAATTTTAGAAAATTAATCTTTATCTGCCCCAGCTGTCTGTCGAAGATGACAGCAGCCAGGGGCAGTAGGACCCAGGGGAAGCCCCAGCAGACTCCTGCAATAGCAGGGCCCACCTGGCCCCGCCCCCAGCCAGAAACCCCTAGCTAGCAGGGGCTCCGGCCTTGGGACCATAGGGCTGTTCGTGCCTCCCTGCCCCAAGTGGGAAATTCAGGTAAGAACGGGGTGGGGAAGTGAGCATGCATGCAGGAGGGTGGGGCCCATACTGGCATCCTGAGGCCAGCGCTGGTGGGGCCCAGAGCGAGACGGCAGGTATATGGGGTGCAGGTTGGCCGGGGTCTATGGAGCTGGGCTGCATTGCACCAGTAGGGAGAGAGGGGAGATGGCCTGGCTCCATAGAGTCCCATCCAACTAGGACTCTGTGCTCCTGCCACCCACTCTGGGCCCTGCCGGTGCTGGCCCTGGGGCACTGGTGCGAGTACTGTGCTCCTGCCCGGCTGCTGTGTGCCCACTCGCTCCTAGCCCTACCTGTCCCAGCCCCGTGGCACAGGCGGGGATGACCACAAGCATCCCTTCCCTCTCCCGCTGCCGGTGCTCCCTGCGGCATCTGCTTGGAGCCCATGCAGGGCTGCCTGTGCCCACTCTCCGTTGCCACTGCTGCCACATGGGTGGCAGGGACATGGTGGAGAGGCAGGACAGCCCCGCGTGGGCTCTGGGCGGCTGCTGCAGGGAGTGCTGGTGGCGAAAGGGAAAGCAACTGCTTTTCCCTCACACTAAGCAGCAGCTTGTTCCCCGCCGCCGCCACTGCTCAGCCCGGATGGGGAAATGCGGGACGTGCAGGGTTGGGATTGCTTGCAGTCATTCCCGCCTGTGTTGTGGGGTTGGGGCAGGTGGGGCTTGGAGCGAGTGGGCGCCTGGTAACCAGACACGAGCCGTGGCTTTTGCCGCTGGTAGTTACATGCCGGTGGCGGGGCAGCCTTAACAGGGAGGCAGCTGGATTTGTGTGCCCTGACCCACTCCTGCCACCATGGCTGAGCCCAGTAAGGTGCTGCCTGTGCCCTGGAACCCGTGCCAGACGAGGCAGGACCCTCCACCCCTGCCTGTGACTGGGAGCAGGAGGATGTAGGTAGGGAAATGCCCAGGGCGGAGGATGGGGAGGCTGCTCTGCTGCTTGCTCCTAGGAAAGGCAGCAGAGCCCCTTCTTCCTGGGCGGTCCCAACTGGGTTCCCCTGGGCCACTGCCTGCGTAGCCCACTCCCCTGCAGGGTCCCCCGGTGCCCTAACTCCATTCAGTCCTCACAATCATTCTTCCCACCCCACAAAATGTTAAACATGTAAATTAAATTTAAATCTGTAAATTATACAGTTTGAACGTCTACAGTATAAAAAGGTTGGGAACCCCTGCCATAGACCCCTGCTAGCCCACACCCCATGTTCCTACCACCCCACTCTGGGCCCCACAGGCCCTGCACTCCTGCATACCTGCTCACTTCTACTCCCCTCTCCACCCCTGCCTCCACTTTCACCACTTTCCTGTCCTCCCACCGGCCGCTCTGCACCCCATAGCTCACACCCACACCCACGCACCCACCCCATACCACCTGACACCCATGTACACCTCACACAATATACAAGTAAGGCTGCATTTTATGCTTTTATGCAATCGCTTCTACATATACAGCACAAACGCACACAAATCAAAAATTAAATTAAAGATATTATTATGGGTATTTGGTTTTTAGTATATTATTTGTATTTTTTCCCCCTAAGATGGCAAACCCTCTTCCCCAAAGGAGTACGCCCAGGGGCAAGATGAGGGACTTCTTGTGGCAAAGGTCAGAGGTTAAGGGGGTCAGACTTCCAGTCCCAAGACCAGGGGGCGGAGCTACCCATGTGGCCCTCAACAGCTTGCCAAAACTCAGTAAGCGGCCCTCCTGAAATAATTGCCTGTCCCTGAACTAAACTGTTGTCAGTGGTGACAGATGACAGAACAAGGAGCAATGGTCTCAAGTTGCAGTGAGAGACATTTAAGTTAGATATTAGGAAGAATTTTCTCACTAGGAGAGTAGTAATGCTCTGGAACATGTTACCCAGAGAGGTGGTGGAATCTCTATCCTTGGTGTTTAAGATCTGGCTGGAGAAAGCTTTGGCTGGTATGATGTAGTTGGGGATGGCCCTGTGTTGAGCAGGGGGTTGGACTAGATGATTTTCTGAGGTCTCTTCCAATCCTAATTTTCTATGATTCTATTGGTTCAGCTGAAGCATCATACAAAGAGGCAACTTTTTAATTACAAACATTCAGTCTTTAGGGCACTGGTACCTAAAGGGAATGCCTCTCTGTATTGAAATGCTTTCTCAAACCACTACAACAGTGGGTTTGTCAGTGCTTTGTAGCCTTAAATGTAGTTGTGTCCGAAGGAGAACTGGTCGTATCCTGTGTTTTGGGGAGTAGTAGTTAAAAACATACATTGCATCAAGCATCAGGAGTGGGTTGCTCTTTCAGCTCGATTTGAGTTGGCATATTGAAAAGCAAAAGTACCCTTCCTAGGAATAATTGGGCTGAGAGAAGATGACTCCACTGTGAAACAGCTGTTATGTGGTCTCATTTTGTTATTTTTCTCCCTATTAAAAAAAAAAAAAAAATCTTTTGAGCAACTTGATTAATGCCTTAATTCTTCTCTCTTTTAAATGCCTAGACTAGTGATTCCAGGTATTATTTAAATATACAGTCTAAGAGTATATTAAAATGCAGTGGATTGAAATGTCTGTTGTGATAGGTAATATTTATAATGACTTATGCCAGTTATTATTTTTGTTTGTTTTATTGCAGCTGATGCAATTAATAATGCAGCAGGGTTTGGTTTTCGAGGCTATGACAAAAATGGAGCAGCATGTTGGGATTTGATATCAAATCTGAGAATCCAACAGATCGAGGTTTGTTCATGGTTATTTCTAAATTTGTGCTTATGTAAACACTTTGTATTGCATTGAGTTGTCTTGAACTTCTCTGTTCTCAGGATAGCAGTGTGTTACAAACCAAAGGTGGTGACAGTTTTTTGGGAAGCGGGTGATAAATCACCTCCCTTTGGCATATGCTCGGTCTGCCAGTTAACTTGTAGAATTTTTGGTGATATGAAGTTTTTAAAGTAGAGTTATAGATGAAGGAATAAGAGATGGTTCATAATGGAGTGGTTGAGCAAATTCTAGAGTCTTTATCCAGTTCATTCCCAAAGAATCTTTTATTGTTCATAATTCTGAAATACTGCATGAATTTATACTTTGCAAAAATAATTAATATGTTTGGGTTTTACAGTTTGCAACAAGTTTCAAGATGTTTCTTGATAACTGGAATATTCAAACAGCTCTTTGGCTTAAAAGGTACTGTATTTCTTACAGGAAAGCTTTTCTGCTTTAAAAAAAATCCTTCAAAATATGAAATTTATTCAATGCTTGGTTAGAAATCCAAAAATAACAATATTGCTGCTAAGTGGGCTGAGTTCTAGCTTGCAGGTGTGTTGGGGAACACTTTGCGGGGCTCAGTGTGAGCATGCTTTGCTACAAATAGTTGTAAATAATTTTGTACGGAAGATGTTTAGAAGTCCTCTTCACCTGAGGGGAGATGGCAATCTTGGGCTGGCAGCAGACCATGGAAACTGCTCCCTGGTTTGTTCCTTAGGTTAATACTATAGTTTTGTAACAGGTTTTTATTGTAAATGTAACTGACTGTGCCAGAGGAGAAAGGAGTGAGGGTCTGAGAGAAGTGGGAGGAGAAAGGGCTGTTCCAGAGAGGGCAGGGAGCTGTCCCAAGGAGGACAAAGTGGAGTGAGAAAGAAGTAGTCCCAGACAGGACAGAGGGGGCTCCTAGTGAGGACAGGGGGAACTGTGATGGAAGATACGGGGTGCTTGATTTGAAGCAAGAGTCTAGTGTGCTATTCAGGATGTTGGCACTATGATCCTCCTCCTGATTTGAAAAGGAGAACTCATGCTTCCCAGATGCTGACCAGAGAAGAAACTCTGAGGAGAGGTTGCTACAGCTTTCCGGGAAAGCCAGGATCTTGAAATCATGCCAGGGCTGGCTTCAAGGACCCTATAGGAGAGGGAGACCAGACAAGGCTGCTTCTCGGGGAGTCCTGAGGCAGAATTTCCCCTCAAGTGACATGATCTGTGACACTTAAAACAATTATCAGTTTCAATTAGAGTGTTGCTCTTCTTGGACAGTGCTTTGTTAAATCATGGAGCTGAGTTAACAATGACCTTACTGCATGGGATAAAAAAACCAACCCATAACTGTATAAGCTGCTGATCTTGAAAATAAAACATTATGCAAACAGGGGGAACTAAAAGTATTCATTTGTGGAGGAATCTTTTTTTATTTTCAAGTTTCCAAGTAGGAGATGTTGTACCCTATGAGAGGTATAATCAGCCCAGATCTGCCTCTCTGACTGCTGGCCTGCACAAGATCTATTAGCTTCTGTATTGCCACAGAAACTTCCCATCTTGCCTCCTGTTGACTGCATTGCAAGCATCATGGGAGTGCTGTTCAGAAGATATACAGAGTGTTCAGTATTTGCTGTACTCACTTTTTGTGGATAATGCAGAGATGACAGAGTGTCTAAAGAATTAGTGTCTCTGGCTGTTCCTATCCCAGTGTTTGTATGGTGGATAATAGAGCCAAATGGAATGTCCCACATCTACAGGTGGCTGGAAGGTAACCTAGTTCATTCCCTTCCTCTGAGGCAGGATCAAGTGTATCTATCCATCTCTGACATGTGTTTGTCTAACCCAGAACTATTCAACTTCAGAGTGGCTGGGGCCCCCACCATTCAGTGCCCCCTTCCTGTGTGGGGGCCCCAGGCCCTGTGGCCACACTGTCCCACCCCACCCCACCCCCACAGAAGCAAAAAGCAGAAGCCTGGGGAGGGATCGGTAGCTTTGAGACCTTGGTTGCTGCTGAAATAGTGGGGAGGTGGTATATGGGCAAGAGCCCATGGACCACAAACTAACCCCTTATTACCTGCTTGAGGCTCACCAGGTTCAATTTGGACAGCTCTGGTCTAACTTCTTTATTTTTAAAATCCTCCCCACGATGGAAATCCTACATTTTCCAAGCTAACCCATTCCAGTGCTTAACTGTCCTTACAGTGTGTTGATTAGTTTTTATTAATATGTAGCTGATCTCTTTAGTTACAAATTAGCAGATTACCTCTTGGACTACCTTGGATGGACATAGAAAACTATGAAACTATCTAGAGAAAGTGACAGTATTAAAATTATATAAAAGATGGTTATAAAGAGAACTATATACCATTCAATTATTCACTTACGCTCCTCTAATTGTATCAGTTAAGTGGTTAACCGATAACACAGCAGCTCCGGGGGCCCTTTGGGGGTGGAGGGGGAGGAAGAGGCGATGGCAAGCCCAGCCAGACAACACTGCTGTTTTCCTCTTGGGCTGTGGGTACTTGTGGCCCTGCCCTTCCCCACTTGCTCCTTCCTCCTTACTGCCCTCTGGTTCCTGCTGGAGCACTGTGCAGCTTCCCTTCCCCCAACCCTGCCCTCACTGCCAGATTGGGCAGGCCCCAAGCTAAACAGTAACCGGTAAGCTAACCAGTTATCACTGGGCTTACCAGTTAAATGATTAACCTTTTAACCTTTTACATCCCTAAAGAGAACCATGGCCGATTATTTTCCATGGATACTTGTGGGATGGGGAAAAAAGAATCGACGTATGTTTTGTGATGCTATGGAATCTTCTACACAAATAACTTTTTAAGCGGAAGTTTGACAGACCTGCCAAGAGCGGTCTAGCATGTATACTTGATCCTGCCTCGGTCTGTGGGGATGGACTAGACTAGGGGTCGTCAACTGGGATATGTGAGAAGGCCCTAGGGGGTACATGCAGGTGGGCAGGGATGGAGTGCCACCACCCACCACCCTGTGCTGCCGCCTCCCAGGAGCAGGGCCGGGCCGGGGGTGGGGGCAGGGGGCGCAAGGGCAGTGGTGCCCCTCTGAGGGCTGCATAGGCGCAACCCGGCTGGCTGGACGTGGGGTGGGGGGAGCTTGTACGCAGCCACTACCCACCACTCCACACTGCTTTCTGCTGCTGCTCTGCATCCAGCTGCACGCCACCCCAACACCCTCCCCCCCCGCCCCCGCTCCGCGCCCAACTGCCGGGGGTACATTTACTAAAAAAAGGCTGAAAACCCCCAGACTAGACCAGTTGCCTGTGCTTCCCCTCAGAGGAGCCAGGTATCTGCAAGGAAGGTGAATGTAGGTGGCTTGAGCTCTCTAGGGGGCAGAGGTTTGTGGCCTGTGGCAGGGGGTCAGGTTGTAAATTCTGGCCCATGCAGGCAAAAAGCAGACAACCTTGTGAGGTCTTTTAGCTCTAGTGTTCCATGATTCTATATTTACTATTCTTTTCATAAGAAATGTTGGCATACTGGGAGACTGTTCTTATGTTCCCCTCTTCAGGCTTTTCTTTTTGTAGAGAAAACAAACCCAGTTCTTTACTTTCTTTACTTTATTTTCCTATCCTTTTATTTGTATTGCTCTCTTCTGACTTCCTTCCAGCTTGGCTACATGTTAACATGTGGTGCTCTAAACTGAGCATACTTGCTAAGGTATCATCAGTGTCAATACAGTAGAATAATTATCTTCTGTTACTGCATTCCGTGGAGAAATTTGCTTTTGTTTTTTCTCCAACAGCATCATAATGTTAACTCATATTAAATTTATGGGTCACTCCTAATCCTCAGATTCTCTTCTGCAATACTGCTCCCCAAACAATCATTCCCCATTTTGGTCCAGCACATTTCATTTGCCCCCCTCCCCTCTCTCAAGTGGGTGCCTTATTTTTTTTAACCTCATTTTAATAATTCTGGACCATTTCTTCAGCTTCACAAGAATCATTTTGCATTCTAATCCTGTTCTCTAAAGTGTTTGCAACTTTTGCCAGCTTGGTGCCATCTGCTGATTTTATAAGTGCATTCTTGATTCCATCATCCAAGTTTTTACTGAGACTGTTGAACAAAACCAGACCCAAAGCAGGCCCCTGCGAGACAAGTTGATAGGTCTTCCTCATTTAAGACTGAACCATTTACAATCACTCTTCTGAGGTCTGCTTTTCTGTTAGTTGTGCTCTTACTCACTGTGATTTAAACTAAACCATATTACCTTAGTTTGCTTATAGGAATGTCATGTGAAACGGTGTCAAAACCCGTACTTGTCAAGATCCTTCTTCAGTATCCCAGTTAACTTATCAACAAAGAAAATTATAGATTGGTTGGCAGGACACATCCTGCTGTTTTTTATCTGTTAGGTCCTTACAAATTGATTAATTTGATGTAGTATCTTTCCAGTTATCAAAGTTGGGCTGACTGGTCTGTAATGTACTGGCTGATTTTCTTTTTACTCTTTGTAAAGATAAATACTATATTTGCTCTTCTGCAATCTTCTGTGATAACTGCTAATGATGCAGCGATTGCACCGCTTTGTTCCTTAAGTACTCCAGGGTAAAGTTAATCAGGCTCTGCTGACTTGAATACTCTTAGTTAAATATTGTTTACTCTGCTTTTTCTTGTTGTTGTTTTAATTGTACTAAACGTGGGCCCAATTAACCTGGCTGAAGCAAAAAGCCATTGAACTTTTCAGCCTCCCATGTGTCATCCTTCATTTCTTCATCTTTCCTGTTAAATAATAAACATGTACTTTTAACTTTTTTCCTTTCTTTCTAATGTAATTTTCTAGAAACTTTTCTGCTAAATCTTGCTAAGCAGAACACTTCATGGCTTAGTTTTTCTGATTTGACCTTATGTTTGCACTTCTGCTGAGCAGAACATCCCTCTTTCCTGTTTTCTTATATAGGATATAAAATTACTGCTTTACCCACATCATTCTTTTACTATGTTTCATAACATTCCTCCAAATCAGGATAATTTACAATTTTATCTTTTAATAGTATTTTGTTTAGAGACTGCTAGCTTTCTTGTTAATGAGATTGCTGGCTTTCTTGAACTCTTTTTTTCCCCTCTAGAATTCCTTCCAATGGGACCTTGACTATTAATTTCTTGAGTTTGGATTCTACATTTTTTAAGTTTATTGCTGCTTTTCTTGTGCTTGGTTTTTTTTTCCTTCCTTAGAATCATCAATTCTGTTGTTTAATGATCACTTTCAACCAATTGCCTTCCACCTTCTCATTCAGTTAGAAATGAATCCAAAATCATTCCTCCCACAGTTTTAACTCTAGTTTCTGACAGAAAATATCTCTAATTCATTCTCAGAACTTCTTGGATAGTTTGTGAATTATTTTTGTTGTTATTATTTTCAGTAGACATCTCTGGATAGTTAAAGCCTCTCTTTATTGTTCACATCCAGTCCTTTGGATACTTCTGTATATTGCCACTATAAAAAAGTATGCTTGGTAACAAAGAGGATCTTTACACTGAAACCTTGTATCAAAGCTCTTAGTAAATGTCCAGCATTTTTTGTAAATCATAATATAATAGTAATACTATATAGGTCCAAGATTTAAGAGAATTATGTAATGACATGGGGTTAAATTGCTATTATTTCAAGGGTTTAAATATTTATTGGCACTGTTTTGGTTAGCTTCTTTCTCTAATATCCTTTTTTAATTTTTTTTTGGTTGCTAGAGTATGTTATGAGCGAGTGACCTTCAGTCCTACAGTCCAAACTTTCATCCTTTCAGCCGTTTGGCATGGTGTGTATCCAGGATATTATTTATCATTTCTAACAGGAGTGCTGGTGACACTAGCAGCACGAGCCGTAAGTACCAACCACGCTTTTTAACTAGTATGTAGTTCTTTTAGAGCCAAGTGACTCTGCTGTAGTGCACAAAAGTGTGCTTCACAGGATAGAGAGAGTGGAAGACTCTTCACCTAAGGAGTTATCTATTTTTTTTAGATGTGACATCTAAACATCTAATAGTTAGGAACAGGTGGGGAATAAAAATAGACCTAGGACTCAATGTGTGTTTTAGAGCACATCTTTCATGTGAAGTTCAGGTTGTCCTAACGCTTTCTGATAAAATATTTGTTTTGACACCTAGCTCAGGTGTAAAGTTTATCTTGGAAAGTTCACATGTTATGAATGGGCATAGAGCTGTCCCGAGGATTTTGGTAGTCTAAGCTATCAATTTCTAGAGAATTTTAAAGCAAACTTCAATCTGGTACTGTCCTAAAAATGTTAACTAAAGCAGTGTTCTTTTTTCTCAGCCAGAAAATAGCTTCAGTGAGCTTTCTTCTCAAATGACTGCCAAGCAGCAGCAGAATAACTACAAGATTTTGACCGATTTCATTGATGCTATTCAGAGTCTGTAAACCCAGATAAACAAAGCTGTCAAAATACTGTCATTCTTTCAACATTGCTTTGGAAAACTTTCATTAGAAACAGATGCTGGTATTAGAGTTATTCAAAGGAAGAAAATGACCCCAAAATAGAGGTGGTACTAGGGGAGAGTTTCCCATCAGAACAGCAAGGAAGCTATAAGTGAAGAGAATGCGAAAGCCATGCGTACCTTTTGACAGGCAGTCTGAGAGGGAGCTTCAAGATTGATCAGACTCCTGTTAATAATGAAATACATTGTATTTTGATTCCATGCATCTCAAGCCACTGTATAAAGATTGGCAAGATCCCTGTTGTAAAGTAATAATCTTTCCTTACCACAGCTCTGAGTCTCTGGAGATGAATATACAAAAAATTCTTTGTAGCCCCTAGGAAAGTTGAGCTCACATCTCAGCTACAGGTTGATGCAAATGGTACAGTCCTAAACAAAGTCCAGAGCAGGGGTAGCAACCCCCAGCACGTGTGCCAGAGCATGGTATATGAAGGCATTTTGCTTGGCCTGCGTGCCTCGGGGCAAATGGTAAGGGATCAACAAGGGACCCAATCCTTGTTGTGGCAGCACAGCCCAAGCCCCTTCCCTGCTGTCCACCTCGAGGTACGAGTGCACCTGCCACTGGCAACAAGCTGGGCTGGGACTCTATGGACCCCGGTGCAGCTGCACGCATCCTCCCTGCCACCTGCTGAAGCATCCCAGGCTCTGTGGTGAGCATGTGCACCTTGGGTTGGATGGCAGAGAAGGGGCCAGGGCTTCACTGCCACAACAAGGATCAGGCCCTTTGTGACTCCCTTACTGTCTGCCCGGGCACACCAACATCTTACAAGTTGAGGTTGCGATGTTTTTCACACTCTACCAGAAAATGTTGCTGACCCCTGATCCAGACTGTTCCCTAACTAAGAATTGGTACACTCTGTCCTCTTCTCAGCAATAGAGGGGGCTTGCCTATATTACAAATCTTCTGGCTGCCAGCATCTACCCGTGCCAGGTGCCACATGGCTTCTTGGGAGCTCCACACAGCTTCATTAGCACAGCTGTGCCAGCAGGATGCACAATAATTGTTATTCAACAGGTGTCAGAAAGTATGAATGCATCTACATGGGCTTTCTGGCAGCTTCCCAAAGGAGGCAGAAGCCTTTTGCTTGCACAGCTGGTGTTGCTCCGCTGATAGAAAAAGGGACTGCTGTCATGGAGGAGCTGTGAGTGTGGTTGCACTCTTTTGCCAGCAGAGCTGCGTAGTGGTGACCTAGTCAGGGTTCCAGTAAGCTGGGTTTCTTATTAGAATGTTGTCTGGAGGCTTTGCTACTGGTATGCTTCTTACCTATATTTCATATTTACCTCTACTAGCATGTATAGTTCTTTATTTATTGGGATTGAGTTATATACAGAACTTGATTATTATTATTAATTGACTATCTAGAACAGGCTAAGGTCTATTTTTTCATGGTGTTCATTTGCATTTACCCGTCCTTTTTAGGTTTGCAAAGATAAGGTTCTCCGAGCTCCACCTTTCCCCTTCTGCCATACCTCAGCCTGCATTTGGAACATAATATAAGAATTGTTTTGCTGGGTCAGACCAAAGGTACATCTAGTTTCTGACAGTGGCAAGTAAGAAGTTAGATCAGGGCTGTCCAACTTAAGCAGCTAGGGGTCACATGCCCTGTGGCCACAAGGATCCCCCTCTCCCATTGTGTAGCAGCCCCCCCCCACAGCACTCCAGTCACCCTGCATGGATGCTCTACTCTCCCCACCTTGCAGCACATCCCCTTTCCACTGCTGCACCACATGGCCCTGGCCTCACCCTGCATGCCCTGTGCCCTGGAGTGGGCACAGAACATAGAAGCCAAAGGAGGGAGGGGGAAGCCCAGAGACTCTGGCTGCTGTTGCAGCTGGAGTGATAGGGGGAGCTGCGGCCAGGTGGGAACCTGGGGGCTGCAACTTAATGTGGCCTATGGCCCACCAGTTGGACAGCCCTGGTTTAGATGAAGAGTGTTAGAAACCAGGTATATGTTGCATGATCCATTCCCTATCATACTCACCCAGTCACCAGCAGTAGGTTACATCCCTAATTCTGCTGATTTCATTTATTAACCATTTAATGTTTCATAAATAGATCCTTATTAATGTCACTCACTGATTTAAAATTTGATCCTTCCGTGCTTAAAGAATTTAGTTTTCCACATAAATCTCTGGAACTCAAGACAGTTTGGTGGATGTGAATTTAGGAAAAAGCAGGTTGAAATATTACTTTGAACAGAGCTGCCATTTTATGAGACTAAAAACTTGACTTGTTTAACTCAGAAACAGAAGCTGAGAGGGGATGCGACTGCTTGTCTCGCACATAGATCAGCAGAGATAAGCACCAAGGAGCTAGAAGAGTTATTTAAGCTAGAGGATGGTGTTTGCACAAGAGTAGGCAGGAATAAATTTGTCATGAATCATATTGATTTGGAAATGAGGGGTGCCGATACACATGCAGTGAGGCTGCTCCAATGCCCTGTAACTACAGTGCGTCAGAGCAGCCTCAGTTATCTTGCTCCAGCAGACTCCAGCATCACGTGTACCAGTGTCCCTGTACTGAAAAATGGTGGTGGGGGTTCTTTAACTAAAGCACTCCCGCCACCATTTGTCAGTGTGGGGATGTTGATGCATGTAACACTCTGGGCACTTTTAATTAGAGTGGTGCTTGGAGCCACTCTTAATGAAATTGCCCTTCCCCGGAGCATGTCTATAAATGTCCAAGGTTTCTAAACACCAGAGAAGTGTTCTGGAACAGTTTTCCAATAGGAATAGTGAGGGCAAGCATCCAACCAGAGTTAAATTGGAGCTTGAAAATTTTATGAAAAAGATTTTATAACATGGGTGCCCACCACAGGAAAATGAGCTTGCTGCTGTGAGAGGTCTCATCCAGTCCTGTGTTTCTAGGGCTTGGCAGCTATGACAGTAATACTGCATAATAGTTGCATAGCAGTTTTACAACCTTCTTAATCCTTTGAAGTAGGGATGTGTTAATATCATTTTGGTAGTGACTAAGATGGAAAGCTATGTGACTTCTCAAAGTCATGGAGAAGGTGGTATATAAATACTAGCCAATTGCCCATCAAGAATGATGGGGAAGAGGGCTGGGATGGAGTGCCGCCACCTAACACCCCATGCTGCCGCCATTCTGCCTTTTGCAGGGAGAAGGGTGGGGGAATCGAGGCCAGCGCTGCTGGCCTTGGCTCCCCCACTCAGTCCGGTCCTTGGTACAGCTCCAGAATCATGGCAGCTCTCCCCCATGCTTGGAGCACACTGATTGGCTGTTTCCGTCAGCCAGTCAGAGTGCGAAGAAAATATTACAGACCGACCGACAGACTTAGGCTTTTATAATATTAGAATGTTACAACTGCCTACTAAAGAGTGTATAAAAAATAAATCCAAGAGTAGAATTTTGGCATTTCCCTAAAACAGGCTGCATGACACTGAATTGGTCTGGATCCTAGCTTTAAATAGGCAGCTGAAATGGAGAATTCAGCTGGTATGCTCCCCAACAGCAGTTTTGCAAATACACTTGACCCACAATTTTTGAAAATCTCTATAGATTTTATAGATTCTTTAAATTTGAGTGGGAACCATATTGGTTGACAGTGTTCCTTGTAATTATGTTTAAATTGTATTACCACTAAATATGCCAATGGTAGCATTTTGGGTAGGGCAAAATTTCTGAATGGTTTTCAGAGGCAGCCCTAGAACTGAATATAGTGATCCTATTTAAGCTCTTGAAGGCCTAGAAAATTCTGACAAGGTCCACACCACTAAAAGCCAGAACCTGATATACCCAAACTGGGAAGGAAAACTCTGCTGCTACTCTCTGGATCAGGAAAGAATACAAAAGGACTCACATATTAAAGTGTAAACCCTGAATCAAGCACAAAATTCCTGTCTCAGTTTCAAATATTATTTCTTAATATCTCAACTTCTACTCTCACCTTCACCCCAATTATGCAGTTCTTGATCACATTAATACTAACGCAGGACACAGCCCATTGCTCCCAGCAGTTGTTACTGACTCAGGAGCACATCTGCTTCTTCATCTGTAGCCTTTTGTAAAGGTATGAGAACTTGCAAATGCACTTGACTTTATCCTTTGAGGCAGACATAGTCTGTTGATGAGATCAGCACAAACTACTAACTATACACAGATTAAAAATTTGGTTGAAAGGGATTAGGTCAGTAAGGCCATTGCTGATACCGGAGCTGCTTTCAAACTCCCTAAACAATCTTTCCTGAAATTGAAGATCAAAAAGAAGCTGGTAACTGCCAAAACTCTCTGTCAAGACACAAGTTTATTGAACAAAGGACAAACAGTTCATTAGAGGGAACCAGGCATCTTGCTTTCCACTGTAAATAGAATAATCCTATATACCAATAATCTTAATGTCTGCGC